GGCTCAGTCGGTTAAACATCCGACTTCGGCTCAGGTCATGATCTCACAGTTCGTGGGTTCGAACCCCGGATCAGGCTCTATGCTTACAGTGCAGAGCCTGGAGCCTGCTTCAGATTCTGTGTCTCCCTCTGTCTCTGCCCCTACCCGGCTCATGCTCTGTCTCTCTCTTTCAAAAATAAATAAACATAAGAAAATAATAAAATGAATTTCACCTCTTTTTATTTTTTAAAATGTGTCTCCTAGAAAATTAAAAATATGTAGCTCAGGGCGCCTGAGTGGCGCAGTCGGTTAAACGTCCGACTTCAGCCAGGTCACGATCTCGCGGTCCGGGAGTTCGAGCCCCGCGTCAGGCTCTGGGCTGATGGCTCAGAGCCTGGAGCCTGTTTCCGATTCTGTGTCTCCCTCTCTCTCTGCCCCTCCCCCGTTCATGTTCTGTCTCTCTGTGTCCTAAAAATAAATAAACGTTGAAAAAAAATTTTTTTTAAATAAATAAATAAATGAATAAATAAAAATATGTAGCTCATACACTGCTTTAATAAATAGAAGCTGACCAAACAATTTATTTCTTAGTGTTGCAGTCAAGAGATTTTCCCTTATTTTTCCATCCAGGGTAGAACACATCACCAGATACATTGTTTTATCCAGAGTTGGTTTGTTTCTGGAGGAAATAGTTAGAAACAGGATTCTTCCTCTGGTCCCCAGCTGTTTACAGTCATTTTCTTTTGCACCCACACAAGTTATTGCTTTCACTTTTGGTAGATTCATTTTTATTAAAAATATTAGCTAACCAATGACTTGTTAAAGACATACACCAGAAGGTTGCTTTTTTTTTTTTTAAATAAAGCAATAAAATACAATGATCATGGGGAGTCAATACTGGACATTCAGCATTTAACCCACTGCATTTCCTTGCAGGGTGAACTAGCACCTGGGTGGTGCCTGCATTCTGTCAGTCATGTCGCACGCTAATCCTGAAAAGCACATAATACCTCCTAAAATATCTCAAGGGGTTAGAAAGATCTTCTAAATATTTTTAAATCACTAAAGAATAAGAATTGCCTAAAATATGTTCCTTCCTGAAACCTGCTTCATTTTAGTTCTAAATATTCTTTTAGTCCTTGATATTAATTTGATTCTGACTAAGGAAGAAGTCTTCATAAGTAAGAGTGTGCTTCTTTACTGGAATTATGGTGTCTGTATATATGTATATATGTGTACACATATATAGTACATATATATGTGCATATGTGTGCGCATATATATGTATATGTATATGCATATGTGTATGTATACTTACATATTTACCTATAGTGCCCACTACCTCCAAGTGGAGTCGAAATCTGGCACTTATCTATTATCATTTTATTTGTGCGGTTCAGTAGCTATCAACCTGTTTCTGTATTGGAATCAACTGGGGAAATTTTGAAAAACCCAAATGTTCAAACCTTGCCCCTAGAAATTCTGATTTAGTGAATATGAAGTTTCCCTCAGCCCAATGAGAAAATCTGACGCACAACTGAGGTTGAGAACTATTTGTGAGGACAGTAAAACTAGTGTTTTAGGCTCCCTAAACTTACTTCTTTTTTTAATAAATATTTATTTATTTTTGAGAGCATGGGAGAGGCAGAGAGAGAGGGAGACACAGAATCCAAGCAGGCTCCAGGCTGTCAGCACAGAGCCTGATGCAGGCTTGAACTCAAGAAACACAAGTTCATAACCTGAGCCGAAGTCAATGCTCAACTGACTGAGCCATCCAGGCGCCCCTCCCTAAACTTACTTTTAAAAAAGAACCTAGTTTGCACCCAGATCTCTCTTCTGTCCTCTGTGCCTGCAAGGATACTAAGCACCTCTGCTCAAATTTCTTACCAAAATCTCTTTGGCTTAGATGCTTTCCCTCAACCAAACGCCTACTAGGGTTTTTATAAGCATCACTCATTAGTCTGATGTTTATGTACGGTGGGTATATATGTGCATGAGTGTGTCCCAACTGGACTATAACTCTTTAAGGAGAAGGATAACATCTTTATGTTTACCACACCCCATTTTAGGCAAATACACATCACACACCGGGTACTTAGTTTAAAAAAAAAAAAAGAATGTTTCAAAAGTACCTACAATAATCCCCAACTTACAGTGGTTTGACTTACAATTTTTCAACTTCTTGGTGGTGTGAATCAGTGGAAACCATACTTTGAATTTTGACTTTTGATCTCTTCCCACTAGCCGTATTTGATAAGATATTCTCTCACGATACTGGCGGCAGCAGCAAGCTGCAGCTCCCTGTCAGCCACATGATCACAAGGGTAGACAACCAATATACTTACAACTGTTCTGTTTTCCACTGTCAGTACAGTATTCGGTAAATTGCATAAGATATTCAACACCTTCTTATAAAATAGGCTCTGTATTAGATGATTTTGCCCAACTGTAGGCTAATGTAAGTGTTCTGAACACATTTAAGGTAGGCTAGGCTATGCTGTGATGTTCAGTAGGTTACATGTATTAAATGCATTTTTGACTTACAGTATTTCCCACCTATGATAGTTTTATTGGGGCATAACCCCACTGTAAATAGAGCAAGGTCTGTAAGTAAGATCATGATGTGCTCTTAAGAACATCACAAAACAAATCAAATCCCTCCCCTAATAAACAGCCTTTTAGCTGAAGATAATTGTAGCAGTTATGGATCTCAGGCCATATACTCAAGTTTGCAAGAAACATAATCTTCTAATATTACCCGCACTCATGATTTTCTCCCCACTCACCCATTCCCTCACCTCAGATTACTAGAATCCATCACCTTGAAAGCAGTCCCGAAGGAAATGATACATTATGAACTTTCCTGCCAGAAAAAAAGAAAAAAAGCACCATCTCAGAATGTTTACGAATTGCATAAGTTTTCCTGAAATGCCATGTGTTTGAATTATCTATCATACCATTAAATTAAATATGGCTAAAGTGTTATTGGGACTTTATGTATTATAAGTTTTATTGTAGGTACTTCATACTTATTACAGCTGAGTTTTCTGATCATAGTGATGTCAAAGTATTATTTACAGGAACAAACCTACCATCCATGTTGTTGTTGATGGGCAGGTTTAAAAAATTAAGAAATTTTTTTTTTTTTTCTGAGAGACCTCCTCCTGCAGGCCTATTTTCTGGCCCACAACCCAATAAAACTCTGTATTACTGACTTTCTGTTGGGATAAAATTTTAAAATAACTTTTGACCCACCCTATTAGGCCAGCGCTTCTTAAATTCTCTTCAGTGAAATACCAGCAAGGGAAGAAGACAGAGAATGTAGTATATAGCTGGATGTAGCCCCAAACTAAAATTTTGTTGCTGATTAGGATTAAATCTTAATGAAATTCTTCACCTCATTTCATTATACACCATTGCTTTAAATAGTAAAAAATGTTTCACTTCCCTGAATCTTTCAGTAAATTGATTTCATAGAAAAATATGTTTACTTTGTGGCTTTGAATAAATTGGCGATACACTTAAGAATAACCCTTAACTCCAGCTGGGAAGAAGAGGAGGCTTGGAGGAAAGGAAGGAGAAGCAGGCTCCACGTGAGAGCCTTGCATGGCAAAAAAAAGTTTCAGTTTGGAAACCCAGTGTTTGTTTGCTATGTTCATAATGTACCTTAACCCTTACTCCCTTAGACCCTGTTCCCCATTGTTTGCAAGCAGGACTTACCTTCTATAGGGCCATTAGAGCTTGAAGGTGCATTCCCGTCTGACTCATGACTCTCTTTCCAGATAGTACAAATGCCCTGCTTTTCCAGCTAATATTGAGCACTTATTATGTACCTGGTTTCGTTTTAAATTCTTTATATTTGTCAAGTCTTTTAATCTTCCCAACAAGCCTTTGATGAGGCTATTATTATTATACCCAATATACAGAAAAGAAAATTGAGATATAATTCCTTCAAGGTCACCCAGCTAGTGGATAACTGGTAGGGGACATTCCAACCTAGGCATTCTTAACCGCTGCAATATTGTGCTTTAAATGACTCAACATTTAAACTGTGTGTAAAATTAAAACACATAAAGGACTGATAATGTTGGATGTGTTATAAAGGGTTTTAAAGTAAACTTTTTATTCATATTGAATATTGAAACGTGCATAAATCATGTTCAAAAGTAACTATCACCCACATAGAGAAACAGAACATAACTAGAGGCCCCCCATCACCTCTTATGCTCTAAGTTTCAAAGTTCAAAATAATCATTCACTTAGTGTTGTACAAGCTGACCTGTATATCTATTTAAGACCCTAATTAAATTCATTTCCATAGTAATATACTCTTTCCAGAGTAGTGATCCTCAAAATGTGGTCCCCAGACAAGCAACCTAGCATCATCTGGGAACTTGTTATACTTGCAAATTCAAGGACCTCCATCCAGACCTACAGAACAGAAACTCTGGGCATGAAGCTTAGCAATTACGTTTTAACAAACCCCCGAGCTGATTGTGATGCACGCTAAGGTTGGAGAGGCTTGGATGTAAGTCCGTTGTAACGGTTTTGGTTGGTGATCACGTATTGTGTTAAGTGAATACTACCGCCTAAAGTGTTAGGCGTGGATAACGGTGACAAGTTCTAATTACCTACCTTTTTGAAGTACACTGCGGGTAAAATGCTTTCTATTTTAACTAACCGTGTTGCTGTTGCCGTCAATGTTGCATTTTATCAGGAGTATAAAGCAATGTTGCCTTTATCAGGCTCCTCGCCTCCTAACCTCACTAGTCGCCCAGTCCGTAGTAGTCCAGTTTACCAACAAAGCCCGGCTGCAGCGTGGCGGGGAATTCAACATCCTGAATCGGGAGCAGGCCTCGGCCAATCAAATGCAAGGCTTAAGTCGCTCGCCCACCCTGGCGGTGTGATTGGTGGTTTCCCGCCGGCGGAAGAGACCTTTCGAGGCACCGCCCAGGGCCCTCCCGCACTAGCCAATCGTCGCTCGGCGCCTGGGGCGGGGGCGGACTCGCGCGAGTGATTTAACATGGCGGAAAATGGTGCCTTGGCGGCTCCGAGCCCGCGGGGGCGTGCGGACGGGGAGGACGCGGAGCCCCCGGAAGAGCGAATGGCAGAAACGCCGAGAGATGATCAGGAGCAGTTTGAGTGCCAGGAACTACTGGAATGCCAGGTGCAAGTGGGGGTCCCAGAGGAAGAGGAAGACCCGGGCCTAGTGGCCGAGGCTGAGGCAGTCGCTGCTGGCTGGATGCTCGATTTCCTCTGCCTCTCTCTTTGCCGGGCCTTCCGCGACGGCCGCTCTGAGGACTTCCACCGGACCCGCGACAGCGCAGAGGGTGAGTGCTGGGCGCGCCGGGTTCGGGGCTGCGCTGAGGCCGGGGGCGACGACGCGGAGCGGGGCGGGAACCTCTGCGAGCTGTCAAAGCCCAGTTTGCAGCGCAGTACCCCTGGGGGGTCGGGGGACCCGGGCTGCTGCGGCGCAAGACCCGAGGCTCTGAGTTGAAGTTGGTTCGAATTCCGCACCCGCCTGTTTGCAGCTTCTCAGTTTTTCTCAGATTCTGTTTTTCTCTTCAGTAAAGAGAGAATTAGAATTAGACCGCCATTTAGAATTGATGCAGGATCAAACGAGTTAAAATGTATAAAATTGCCCAGCGTCTCAAGTCCTTTTTCTCCTTTGGCGCTTGTATTTTTTGTTTTTATCGACTCAGGTATTCCTGTGATGGCATTTATAAAGCGGTCACAGTGGCCTCCAAGTGACCCAGGCATCAGTGTTTTCTATTAATTTGTGAGCTTTTTAAATCTCATTTGGCTTGGTTGCCTGAAGAATAAAAGTAACTGTCAATGAAATTTACTGCCTGCACAACACAGTCTGTAAGCGATGGACAAAAACAGATTCAGAGAAGACTGGCTTTTTCAATGAGAACAGAAAGATACGCTGGTATTTAATATAAAATTAAACACTTCAGAAAAACAGTATCGACACATTTCATCTTCATGGTCATCCCGTAAATTAGGCAGGTAATCTTAGTTTATAGAGGAGTGGACTAGTCAAGCAGTCTAAAGTGTTGGTAGGTTAAAAGGAATGTTCCACACCTGTGCCTTATCTTCCGCTCCAAGAACCTTTCCATATACTGACTGTGTCAGATAGCTCTAGAGCCACGGTTAATTACCATTAATTAGAAAGTTAAATCCTGAAATGAAGCCAGTTCGTTATACTTAAAATTATTTAAAAAGTCCACTTTGGGGAGAAAGGTAGGATTATCTGTGTATTAATGAATTTGAGTTGTAAACATTAGTATCAGCTCCTGTTTGGCTCAATACAGGCATAAATGGTGTTAAGAAACATCATTCATTGGGTAAATTTGTGGATCCAATTGGCTTTATTAAACAATTTCATGAATTGGGCAGCATCCCACCCAGCCAAGCGGGGAGGAGGGTGGAGAAGTTGTACAAAATGGAAGATTTTTATAGGAAGGAGGGCAGGGCAAGAAAGTTATAAGCAAAAGAAAAGGATTGTTCCAGTCTAGGTCCATTCCCTTTAGGAGGAACAGCAGGCGTCTTAACGCAGATTACCTCATCCTTCTTTGGAGGATGGAGAAGGCCCATTTGGCACTTTTTGGCTCCAGTCACAAAATTCCTACCAACCGGTTTAGACTATTTGGGGAAGGTTGAAAGTGCAGCCAGATTTGGTGGTAAGCCCAGTTTGGGGACTTAGCCTGAGTGACACCATTTTGGGCCTGTGGTTTTCTTTTAACAATGATTACATATAGAAATGTTTATGCATATTTCTATACATGTTTAGACACAGGTTAGTTAGTATATATTCATTTACTTATTCTGTTAGACGAAAGGGCACAGAAGCAGTGTAACCCTACGTAGTAACCTAGCACTGGAGGCTTGGTTTCTAATACCATTTCTTAATAAAGGGAACCAGCGCTCTTTGGAGAAATGGCCTGAATCTGACACTGGGACAGGAGATAGGACAGATGAACCTGGAGCATCTTGTGCCAGGAAGTAAGGAAGTGCTAACAGCAAACCCCCAGACAAAAAGAACTTTTGGAGGTACAAAGGGAACAGGAGCCAGCTGTAAGAGCTCCCAATGGCCAGAGCAACTCGAGCAAGAAAATAGTTTGAATTCTAACCCAAAGGTAAAATATTTATCTGTGAGCCCATACTGATGTAAATAAATGATGGAATAAATAAGGAAACGAGATAAGAAACAAATCTCCTGCAGAAGAATTCCAAGTAATTTATGAAGCTACTATGTCGTCAAGGAGGTGAAACCTAACACCCCACTCCTTAAGTGTGGGCTGTGCAGAGTGACTTTATTCTGAGAAGTACAGTATGGCATTGGGGGAAGGATAACTTTACAGTAGAGAAGCCTAACAAAGATTAATTCACACCTAGGTCATCAAGGTCAACAGGAACGGTGACAGTTTGGCATTATATATACTTTATATGATGTATTGAATATGGAACTTTACCTCTTTGATCTTCCTCCCAAAACTTCTTAACTCCAATCAAATTGTGAGAAAAACATCAGACAAAGCCCACTACAAAATATCTCAAAACTGCCAAGGTAATCAAAACCAAGGAAAATCTGAGAAACTATGATGATGACTAAATGTAATGTGTCCTGGGTGATATCAGCAGAAAAAAAAGGACATAAGTAAAAACTGAGGCAGTCAGAAAAGAGCATGGACTTTAGTTAATGATGTATTAATATTGATTTATTAATGTAACCTGTACCATACATGTACAAGATGTTATTAATAGGGGAAAGTGGGGGGAGGGTATATAGGACTTCTGTCTTCACAATAATTCTATAAATTGAAAATCTTTCTAAAAATTAAAGACTTCTTTTGAGGTTCTAGGTCAAGACCCGAGGAATAATCTAGGCCACCTCTATTATTTTTAGGATCAGGGCACAGAAAGCCAGAGAGAGTAAACTATTTTTTAAAGTTGCACTGCTAGTCAGTGACCTATAAATTGTGAACATAGTGTTGTCTCTGTATTTCCATTTTGACTGAAAGGACTTCCTTTTATCTTTTATAGGATTTCATTTACTTTTCAAAACCACACAACTCTTGATGCTTTCTAGAAAATTCTTAGCTCTTTCATTCTGACTCACAGTTATTCTCACACCTCACTTAACTTAGGCCGTTTCTAGACTGGGAAGCAGTTTTTTTTTTTTTTTTTTTTTTCAACGTTTTTATTTATTTTTGGGACAGAGAGAGACAGAGCATGAACGGGGGAGGGGCAGAGAGAGGGGGGTGGGAATCGGAAACAGGCTCCAGGCTCCGAGCCATCAGCCCAGGGGAAGCCTGACGCGGGGCATCCCAGGCTCACACGGACCGCAGATCGTGACCTGGTAATGAAGCCGGACATAACTGACTGCACGCACCAGAGCGCCCCTAGAGCTGGTTAAGATAATGATTAAAACATCTCCGGGGGAGGGGGGCGGGGGAAGTCCTGGGCACAGTACATTAAGCATCTGACTCTTGATTTTTTTCTGCTCAGGTGAGTTATCAGTTGGTCATGGGATATAGTCGGTCTCTGTTGACATGACATACTCCAGGAATCCTATAGCAGGATTCTCTCTCTTCCTCTCTCTGCCCCTCCCCTGCTCACTCTCTATCTCAAAATAAATAAACTTAAGAAAGAAAGAAAAAAAGAGCATGGGCTCCAGAATAAATTGTCTGAGTTTAATTCCTGGCTCTGCTACTTTATAGCTGTTAGACCTGAAGCAAGTTACTTACCTCTTGGTAGGTCAATTTTCTCATCTTTTTATTTGGGGTGGGGAGCAGAGAGACAGTGAGAGAGCCCAAGGAGGGATTCTCCTGTCTGTCAACACAGAGTCTGATGCGGACTCGAACTCAGGAACCATGAGATCGTGACCTGAGCCGAAATCAAGAGTCAGACACTTAACCGACTGAGCCACCCAGGCACCCTCAGTTTCCTCATCTGTAAAGTGCTGATAATAGTATCTACTTAAGAGAGTTGTTGAGAGAAACACACGAACTGATAGATATAAAGCAAGGTTTCTTGACAGCTTCAATACTGTTGACACTGTGTGTTTGCACCACATGATTCTTTGTTCTGCGTACACACGAGTGGAGGGGGATGAAGGTGAGGGTTCTCCTGTGCTTTGTAGGACGTTCAGCAGCGTCCCAGACCTGAACTACTAGATGCTAGCAGCATCCCCCTTCTACTCGTGACTTTCAGAATTGTCTCTAGACACTGCTGAATGTCCCCTAAGGGACAAAATCACCCCCATTTGAAGACCACTGGTATAGAGTGCTTAGAGTAGTGCCTGGTGTTAGAAGTGCTTAAATACAGTGGCTATTGCAGCCAGTCAGTAGATCTCCCTAACGTGTTTCTGTCAGCAGTGTTTGGTTACAGGTGAGGAGAAAGCAAATAACCAGGTTCAACCAGGGGAGGTTTTCATTGTTTTTATTTTGTTTTTTGGCTAGCAGGTACAAAGAACAGAAAGGCAGTGGTATTTGTAGGTACTGCATATGGACTAAATTGAATATGGAGGGAGGTGAGAGGTCTGACTTTCTTCCCTAGCATAGAGTAGATTCTTTTGTTTTGCTCCTATACCATACTTAATCTTTGTGGCATTAAAATTTTAATGGATCACTTGGCGTAACTTTTGGTTTCTGTCTTTAACATTGGCTAGCGGTAGCTGTTAAGTAAGTATTGAACTGTTTAAATTTTATATTAATTTTGTGCTCTCTCTGAATCTTGTTTAATTAAATTGTAGCTGGTTTTGGTCCAGATAATCTCTGGTATAGTTTAAGATTATGCTATTTTAGAATTGAGGAAATAAATACAAGTCAACATATTTGTCTTTTATCTGCTTAGTAGCTGCAAGACCACTTTTTGGTTTTGCTGGTTGATTTAATCTTTATATACACCAACCAAGCCCTGGGTGAACTGTAACTGTGGAACCTTCAGGTCTTACTTTAAACATAATTTCCTCAGAAAAGCTTTCCTATCTCCTTCCTCCAACTAGCTACTAAAACACATTCTAAGCTTTCTTTGTTATATGCATCCATAGCATTCTGTACTTGTCTTTTTCAGTTTTCTCCACGTTTTTACTTTAATTGTTCAATCATTTGTCTTTCATTGCTACATAGTAATAAATTCACTGAGATCCAGGATTATGGTTTACTCCAGCATCATACTCAATGCCTAGCGTAACATCTGCGTGGGCATTCAAATATTTGGAAGACTAATATTAATAAATTTTTTTTATACATCTGCAGTTTTATTTCTTCTTTGGGGTTAGGGTTGAGGAGAAACAGGTTTTGGCTGAGAAATAAACTTTTTTGCTGAAATTGTACCCTGAAAGTTTTAAATAAGTAGCAGAAGAAAGGGAAGATAAGTAGTTGGTAAACTGAGGCCTAAAGTTGCTGCCCCCTTTCCGTGTCTGCTCCTATGACTTCTTGTCCCAAACCAAATTACAGTAAAGGAAGTATTCTGCTCTTTATTTTGCTCCGGTAATGATCTAGACTGGAGACCAAGAGGGGATTGCCACCACAAGTTCCCAAGAAGGAGCGCCACAAGTTCATTTATACTATGGTCTGTGTCTGAGACACAATCCCTAAAACATCTATCAAAGAGTAAAAGGTAGCAATGTGGACTTGATTTGTTTCCAGAGCTTTTCTGCCCAGCTGTCACTGATGAACACAGCGAACACCAAGGGCACGTCTCTGACGGCCCCTTCGAATTTCTGGAATAAGTATTCTACTGGAGCTGAGCGGCAGCTTTTGAACATTCCTCTTAGATGAGCTGCATGTGATTTTTCTCCACATACCCTGTGGAAGCACACTCAGGTGGTTTTAGTCTGGAATTCACACACGGAGCACATCTTCCTGCCACCGCAGGGTCCTCCACCAGCCGGCAGGGCAAGCCTGAGGTGCTCCCTGCCATCTCTGCCTGCACAGGGGCCACTGCTTGCTGAGCATTGAGGTGAGAGCGCAGAACCGCCAGTAGAGGGGGCTCCCCGCTCCTGTAAGCCTGGGGCGCTGGGTGGCGCACCTTTCGGGACAGGGGGACCAGCTTGACTGGCCTCGTGCCTCAGTGGAGCACTCACACTGCAGCCCTCCAGGAGCTCCAAGGTCAGGGCTGCGGAGTGCCAGAGCTGCCAGCTGCCCCGGCAGAGGATTTATCAGGACGTTCCCATGGCTATGGCGAGAAAGCCAACACGCTCTTGTTGGATCAGGCTGTGCGCTCATTTCTTTGGACCCACAAGGCTTTCTGGAAAGGCCACGGGGCCTCGGGTGCAGCAGGTGGCCACACCTCGGGCTGTCTCCTCGCTGCCAGCTTGCCCCAATAAATAGGTTTTTTAAATCTTTATAAGTTTAACAGACTCCCTTAACTGAAACCTTGACCAAAATAATATAAAATATTTCCTATAATATTAGGTAGGAGTTTTAAGGTATAAAATAAACTTCCAGCTAATGATTAGACACATTTTACAGTTTGAGTCTAAATCTCCCTTTTTGTTCATATAGAGTGCTACCTGTGAAAGTACTTTTAAGTATTTATTATTCTGCATGTGAAAATCTGTTTTTATTTTACAAGAAAAGTGCTCATTGCTATTTTTCTCATTTTTAAAAAAATTGCCTATAAATAAAAGCATATAGCTCTCGGTTTATGATTTTTGCATGTTTATAACCTATTACTCAACCAACCACACAGAGGCACTGCTGGGTCAAGTTTGGCTTTTTTTTTTTTTAATATTTTAATAAAATTCATATCTTTTCTTTTTCAGCTATTATTCATGGGCTGTCCAGTCTAACCGCTAATCAGTTGAGAACTATATTCATATGTCAGTTTTTGACAAGAGTTGCAGCAGGAAAAACCCTTGGTAAATATGTGTTTTTATCTTATTTTGGAAATGTTTTAATCTATGTCTAAAGGTAAAACAATGAGAAGAAACACATGGAAGCTGTTAGTTGTTTTTGAGAGTTTGCACTGTGTATTTGGCATGTACATCTATACAAGCATTTTTAAAGGAAGTAAAAGAAATACAGTTCTCATCTCCTTAGAGCGCTGGTTGTCAAACTTAGCTTGCTTCAGAATTATTAGAACACTTGTTAAAAAACAGAATGCTGAGTCCCCTTCCCTACCATGAATTCCTGATGCAATAGGATGGTTGGGAGGGACCCTGGAGTTTATATTTCTAATAAGTTCCCAGGTGATTGTGACACATGGGGAGCCACGCTTCATGGACTTTCCTGGAGATTTACTTTAAATTTGACTATGGTAACTTTGTGGTGACTCTTCCATACACATTCTGTTTTTTACTTGCAACTATGATAATTGAAACCTTTTATTTGAACTTGATTTCAGTACTTATTTAGATAGGTGAATATGATTTATAGCTATAAAAGCTCTCTCCTTTATCTCTACAGGTAATTTTAGATTGTAATGGGCAAGCCTGCTTCAGTTTATTAGTAATGGGTGATATTTACAACATGGTCACTTAAAGGACCTTTTGCTACAAATAATTACATATTTATATTGGTGTTTACAATTTACACAAATGCTTTCCCAACAGTGCTAAGTGGTAGGCAGTACTTAACATGAAACTGTTTACTTATAATCCTGTTGTAGTATGGAAAATCCCAGTGTGTTAGTGCCACTCTCGTGACGTTCACTGTCCAGCTCTGGCTCATACAGTATGCTGCGTGTTGGGGGTAAGACTAGGGCTGCAGTTAATGCCATGACCATAAGTGACTAGGACTAGAAGCAGAGTAGATATGGGGAGACAGAACTATAGGTAGTCTGGGCCTGGTAGCTAAAGAAGAAAAGCATCTGGATGTGGACACAATCGGAGAATTCCTGACCATGCGGACAATAAGTTAACATGGTTGTTAACAGTTGTTTTGTAAATTAAATATGACAAAATATTCTAAAGTGCCCAACTGTGTTTCACATGTTAGCAGTTGTTCAGTGGATCTTAACTTTCTCCCGGACGGCCCTTCCTCTAGCCTCTCCTTTCTTTCTGGAAAGAAATGCAGAATGTGTCTGTGGCGCCATGGTTTAATCTTGAAATTCACCAGGATCCCCCTTTGGGTATATCTTAGACATGATAGGCCCATGTCAATTATCAACAATCAATGTATTTCACCATAATGGACTCAAGTGAGGCAGCAATTAAAATTTTATTTTAATTTATATGGTAGACTTTCAGCTGTATATATAACTCTTCCTTTTTTTTTAAAGTGGTTGCTCAACAGCAGCACTGCCTAATAGAAATATAATGTGAGCTATATATATAATTGAAAAGAAACAGATGGACTTAATTTTGGCAATATCTTATTTAACCCAATATTTCTAAAATACATAAACATATAATCAACATAAAACATGTTAATGAGACATTGTACCCCTCTTTTTGCAGTAAGTCTTTGAAATCTTGGGTGTATTTTATACTTAAAGCACATTTCCGATTGGAACTAGCCATATTTTACCTGTTTAACAATTATGTATGACAGTGGCTACCATATTAGCTTTAGTCTCTGCCCCACATAGCTTTGAAATGTGGCAGATGTCTTGAAGGGCAAATGTTTGTTTATGACAGGTTCCATTCTCTCATGGGACTTTATTTTTTAAGTTCTGTGCAGCTCCGGGAGACTTCCCTACCTTTCTACCCCAGCTTTCTGAACTGCCCCAGAACTCAGCAGATGTCCTGAGGGGAAAACCAACCATGTGTTTTCAGTTCTTCTATCCAGTCCACCAAGCTAGCCCCAAGGAAACCGCCAGAAGCTTTCCTTGTTGCTATTACCCCAGTAAAATCTCCCTGCCTGGAATGCACTTACTGAATCTTCGCCTTATAAACAAATGAAGCCAGGGAAGAAAAGCTGCCCCTCATCACCTCCCCTCAAAAGGATTCTCTCCCTGGAGATGTAGTTCATCTAGTTCTCTCTGCTTCCACCACTATCCCGTGCCTTTAGCAACATGCTTTTGCAATTTATCCCACTTTTTTCTAGCTGTAATAGGAATGTTGGCCTACCACAGTATCCTACATTCTGCCTGAAAGTGAAAGTCTACTCTAAAGTTTTTGAAATTAAGATTTAACAGTGATACATTTTTCCCCTACATCTCACATTTATGAGAAGGAAGGCAGATTAATGAGATGGGTTAGATAATGTCCGTCCAGAAACCTAATAGGAAATATAAATATTGAAGTGAGTTTTTATTTTTGTAAGTGTTTATTCTGAGAGAAAGAGAGCACTCACACAAGGGTGGGAGGGGCTGAGAGAGAGGGAGAGAGAATTCCAAGCAAGCTCTGCACTGTCAGCTGATGGGCTCACTCTCACGAATCATGAGATCATGACCCGAGCCAAAATCAAGAGTCGGACACTGGTGTGACTGAACTGCCTAGGCACCCCTGAAGTGAGTTTTTAAAAGAAAAACAAATGTGAAATTAGAAGGATTAGGCAATCTGCCTTTGCATTTTCATCTTTCATGCTTTCCAGCATGTACTCTAGCCTTACCAAGCATCTTGTTATTCCTGAAACACACCTTTTTTAAGACAAAGTAAGTGGAGTTTAAGTGTTCTGGAGTCTGCTTCTACTACTTGTTAGCTGTGTCACCTCTCCAAGTCTCAGGTCCTACTTTATAAAAGACAAAGTTGATAACGTTGTATGCCCTTTTAAAGAAATTGTGTGGATAAAGGAGCTACTGCATGTTAACCACTTAGCATAGTGCCTAACATGTAATAGGACGTTAATATGTGTTGACTATGAGTGTGAATATCTTTTGTACTCCTCTGCCTTTTGTTCTGCTGCTGTCTTCCTGAAATGTTCTCCTTCCCATCCTTATCCTCTTCACTTGGTTATCTCCTATTTGTCCTCAGTGTCCCAGTTTGGATTGTTTCTCTTCCATGAAGGATTCTCTTCTAGTATCCTTTCGTAGAGTTGATATTCTATTCCTCATATACACTAGACCCTCCTAGAGGGTTTTTGGGAAATACAGATGCATGGGCTCTACCTCGTACTAATTAAATCAATCTCTAAAGGATGGGTCTAGGTTATTTGCATTTTATTTTGTATATTTACTTTGAGAGAGACACCACACAGAGGTGGGGCAGAGAGAGAGAGAATCTCAAGCAGGTTCCAAGCTCAATGCGGAGCCCGACTTGGGGCTTGATCTCACGTCCTGACTGTGAGATCATGACCTGAGCCAAAATCAAGAGTCGGACTCTGTAGAGGCATGCCTGTAGTTTTTTAAAGCTCCTCTGATGATTCTGAGGTATAGCTAGAGCTGAGAAGCGCTGGCATAATACATAATTCTAATAAAGTACCAGTCACATCAGTTTGTCTTTCTTCATAGCTAGCAGTCGGGTTTCATAAGGGCAGGAACCATTTCTTCTTCCTGGTCGTATCCTAAGTACCTGGCACAGGGCCGGGAATATAAAAAGACTTACTCTACAAATTAATAAATTTTTATGTTTAAAACGTTGGAGGGGTGCCTGGGTGGCTCAGTCAGTTAAGCGTCAAACTCTTGATTTCGGCCCAGGTCATGATCTCACAGTTTGTGGGATTGAGCCCCACATCAGGCTCTGTGCTGACAATGCAGAGCCTGCTTGGGATTGATTCTCTGTCTTTCTCTCTCTCTCTCAAAATAAGTAAACATTAAGTAAATTATCAAAATGTTGA